AGCCATTTCTTTAAAACCCTTTTCACAAACTGGGAACTGTGACTCATAGCAACGTTGCTTGTTTCTCTTTGATCCACTGGTGTTAATTTAGCTCATGGTGGCCATCTGTGAATGCTGGGGACTGTCGCACAGGCCTTCCAGCTATAGGCAGCCCACTGTAGCAGGGTGGTCTCTCTCCCTGTCTGTGCCCTGCAGGCACTGCCCGGACTCCCGGAGGACCTTCACTAAGCGGCTGATGCTGGAGAAGCACATCCAGCTGATGCACGGAATCAAGGATCCAGATGTGAAAGAAATGACTGAAGCCAGCAATGAGGAAGAAGCAGAAATAAAGGAAGACACCAAGGTCATACATTACAGCTGTTTTCTTCACAGCAAAGCTGTGTTGACTTGTTTTTCTCCATGCATTCTCTTCATCTACTTTTGCGTATGGTTACGGTTTAACAAATTCAGATTATATATAAGTATAAAACAGGGGATAATCCCCTCTACACCCATATAGACCCCTCAGCTTCTCCTGAAAGGTAACTTTTGTAGGCTGAGACTTGTGGAGGATTTGATATGTGTACGGATTAGGAAAGCTGGGATGGAAGGAGAAAGACAAAGGAGAAGCTGCAAGGGGAGTTGCTGGGGGTTGGAGCAGCAGCTCCTAGATTGATGATGATGAAAACAAGAACCTGATGTCTGTCACGTGAGCTCCTTCCGCCTCTTAGGACCTTGTCCCCTGTACACCCTGCAGCCCCTCTGCCCCTGCTGTCCCCAGAATGTGGGGCAGGGGTAGGGTGTGGCTCCTGCTCCCTGGGGCTAACTCCTTCTTTCCCTGGATCATGTTCATATCTACCTTTACCACAGCCCTCCCTGATCCTATATATCCTACCCCTGCTCTCCTCTGCATCCCCTCTGACATGCTTTGTTTTCCTGAGTCTGATGTGCTCTAGATCCCTATACCTGTTTTGCTTTGTCCTGATCTATGCCTGGACATGGTAATTGGGTTCCTATTTGTTAGGTAAAGGGATGGTATGGGCCTATTGCAGAGCAGATGAATGACATAAGGAGCCCTAGCCCTGCACTTACAGTCTGTACTCCAAACATTCATTGAAGACACAGCAGGGCAGCTCCAGTTGTGTTATTTGCTATGTTTTTCCTCCATAGGTCCCCAGTCCCAAGCGGAAGTTGGAAGAACCGGTTTTAGAGTTCAGACCTCCCAGAGGAGCCATCACTCAACCACTGAAAAAACTCAAAATCAACGTGTTCAAGGTTCACAAGTGCGCTGTGTGTGGCTTTACCACTGAGAACCTGCTGCAGTTCCATGAGCACATCCCCCAGCACAAGTCAGATGGCTCTTCCTACCAGTGCCGGGAGTGTGGCCTCTGCTACACGTCCCACGTCTCCCTGTCCCGGCACCTCTTCATCGTGCACAAGCTCAAGGAACCCCAGCCGGTATCCAAGCAGAACGGGGCTGGGGAGGACAGCCAGCAAGAGAACAAGCCTGGCCCAGAGGACGAGGCCTCGGACGGCGCTGCATCAGACAGGAAGTGCAAGGTGTGTGCAAAGACCTTCGAAACGGAAGCTGCCTTAAACACACACATGCGGACACATGGCATGGCCTTCATTAAGTCCAAAAGAATGAGTTCAGCTGAGAAATAGCCACAGATGTTCCATAAGGAAAATCCCCTCCACATTGGAATTTAAAACATTTTTGTTACAAAAAGTTTGCAGTATAATAGAGTTAACAGTACTGTCTAGGCTGTTGCAATATATTTCCTCTCAGTGTACCGTCCTCATCTGTTGGATTATCTCCTCCATGAGTATTATGACAGTATTTGAGTTTAAAAGAGTTTGTATATATTTAAACGAATAACTTTTTATACTCTTTGTTACATGTTTGTATCAGTATTTAGTGGAAAATGTTTTGAGTTTTTTGGGTTAAGAGTTTTTCTTTTTGTACTGTTTCTTTAAAACAGAGTTCTTAGGGGCAGTTCCTGAATTCAAATAAACATTTTGTATGTTACAGATTTGAATAGGTTCACTAATCAGAGGCTAACATAATGCCTTTTTTTAGTGTTTTTAATTTTTAGATCTCAATACATAAATTGAGGTGATAGTGGGTCGCAACAACAATAGGAACTTCTAAGTGTCTTAGCACTACTCCCAGCGTGCTGCCCCGAGAGCAGGGGTGACTGGGACAGCTGCACTCCAGGGCCGGAGTGGGGTTGTGGATTGGCTTGGGCCACACCAATCCAGCTCCCAACCCAGTGTGTTTAAAGCAGCCTTGCAGGAACCTTCTTTCCAGCAGTACATAGAGCAGGCCAGGAATCCAGTAAGGAATGTGGATTGCTTATTGCCATCTTGCAAAATGAGGAAGAAGGGAATTCTAAAGGGAAAAAAATGAGGCTGATGGAGGCTGACTTAAGAGCACAAGGAGATGAAGCTTCGAAAGGGCTGGACTACTGTAAAAGTTACAAATATGTAGTTAGACCAGTAGATGCGTAGTCAGGTTTTTGTCATGTAACTTCTTAACTGTTACACAACTAAGAATATCAAGTATTTTTCTGGCTCTTGACAGGAAAAAAAAGTCACAGTTGACTTAACCCTTTGCTGTCTAACCAGTTGGCGTTTCCTGTTCTGGGTGCTACTGCCAAACGTTCTGGTACTTAGAGTTGGGATGCACAACTTTAACCACCGACTTATCAATGCAGCAGCCTGCACATTGCAGTTGGCCATTAGATGAAGCACTGAGCCACCTGGGTTTCATTTAGTCAATTCAGTAAGTACAGCTCACATTTGTAGTTCTGCTTATTGAAGCATCGCAGAGGTACACTCTTCTGTCCCTTCTGTTTGTAGTTCTCTGGCAGAGTTTATATATATATATATGTGTGTGTGTGGTTTTTGTTTTTTGTTTTTTTGGTTATTGTTTTGTGGTTTCTTTTGCATTTTATATCTTATTTATCCCTGAACATGTTTTTTATTTTTTTTGGAAGAAAATAAATTCTTTTGTGTATATATAGATACTTGCATGATAGAATGTAGTCGGTGTTCGGTTCCTCAGAAGGTCTTGCTGCTGTCAGGTGTTACATACTACATCCATCATAACTGTATTAAACACATTTCATCTGTAAATAAACGTGGGACATTTGGCCCTTGTGCTTCTGTGAGAGAGTTATTGATGGTGAGTCTCTGACATCTTCATGACATTAAGGGGGTGATTAATTGCTGGCACAGGCTACAGGATACTGCCATATTCTCAGAAGCATGGCATATTCCTTCTCATTAATAATCAGCTATTTGTCACTTCCTTCTTGACTCCATCAGTACAATCCAAGGGTGTGATTAAGTATTCCTCAACTTGAAGTTTGATTGCTGTTACTTGTTACAGTTATGTATTTGTATTGCTCTAACTTGTAATCATAGCACTTTCACATGTTTCTGCATTTGGACCTTGCAATAAACCTGTGTGGAGGGCCGCATGGGTCTGTATAGCCTAGTTTTACAGTTGAGGAAGCTGAGCTTAGATTAAGTTCTTTGCCTAAGCCCTCGTAACTGGTAAGTGGCTTTGCATATTAGATCCCAAATATTCTGCTCTAAATCTAGTGCTCGCTTTTTGTGGTTATGTACATACGGACAAATATTCATTTATTCAACAAATAAAAGTATGTGTAAAACATGATACTAGAACTTTTGTTTTTGGCATTATGGCTTTTATAAGATAACCTGCAAGACTTTCCACATTTGAATACCCAGAAATGCTTGATAATATGGAATTGCCATCTGTTAAATGCCTGGTTAAATGTGTAAGGAAGTTTTAAAAAGTACTCTGGTCCAAAGTGAAGAAACTGAAATCCAGACTAAAAGCATTACACAGTGCTGGAACTCGCGCGGGGGCGGGGGGAACTTGGATAGACAAGTCTTACGAAGCTGGGACTGACCTGGAAGACCGATCTTGTGGAAATCATCTGGAATGCAGCAAAGAGAGAGATAAGGAGATGGAGTATAGGAAAGAGATTAGAAATCAAGAATGACAAAACAAGAAGCTCCAGCTTAGTTTGAATAATTTCAGAAAGAGGAACAAGCCAATTCAGAAAGGTTAGTATGGAAAATTATAGCCATTAGTGAAATATACGAATACTTGGGGTAACAGAGGGCTGAATAAGAACACACATTTGGGACTGGAGTTCTGTCCATTCTCCATAGGTTGTACATGCTAGGTGAGGGCCTTTGAGAGAGGATGCAGTCAGACAATCCTGCTGGGGCATGCTCAGCAAGTTCTTAGCCCATTTGCTCTACAGTAGAGAGGTAGGAGCTGAAACTAGACAAGTAGGCTTAGGCCACATTATAAAAGACTGGAAGCCAGGTGTGGTGGCATATATCTATAATGCCAGCACTCTTGAGAAGCCAAGTCAGAAGGATCAAGTTCAAGTGTAGCCTCAGCGACCAAGAAAGACCTTGTCCCAGAATTAAAGGGATAAGGATATAGTTCTGTGCAAAGTCCCTGGTGTCTATCCTTAAACTAACAAAAGGCCCGAATGACATACTGAAGGCTTGTCCTTTGATAGATAAAAATGAGTTATTTGGCCTGGGTAATGACATAGCCAGCTGAGTTGGTAGCAGTGTTTAGGATAGAAGGTGATTAAGTGTATAAGGATAGGTAGGTTACGCTATGCTATGCAACCTCAAGTCTAAATGGCTTCTCACAAGACTTACTTGCTCATCTTCAGTGTCCAGTGTGGACTGTCTGGTTTTCTATCTCCTGATCCCCATTTTCCCACTGTTAAAAAATGGTGACTGGGAGAAGGAAAGTGTGATTGAACACTCTGGCCCAGAACTGAGAGGTGCCACTTCTCAAACTGGTCAACACCAATCACGTGGTTTTTCACTGTCACAAGGGGACCAGGAAGTGCTTCCCATGTGCCCAAAAGGCTAAAAATATTTGAACAGCAGAAATAACCATCACACAATAATTTTAATTACCATAGCTCTGGTGCTGACACAGTACAAGTGCTTGACCTAGGGTAGTAGGAGCAGGCTTAGAGGCTTCAGTTGTAATGAACATTTCCAAAACAGTATCAAAAGCATTTCATAAGGATGTCAGATCTGAAAGTTCAAGCTTGAATCAGTTTGTCAGTTTTTCTGAAGGTCTAGATTAAATAGAAACATGAGAGTAAAAATCAGAAGACCTAGTTTTAGGGAAGATAATATGCTTTGAGTTTGAGATATACAAGACAAGTTGTGTATGGTGGGTGATTAACAGCAACACATATAGTAACAGCAGTGCATAAAGAATGGCAGCAAAATGAGAAAAAGGAGAACAGGCTTAGACTACATGGCATTGACCACTTCTCCCCTCTGAACACATTTTCTGCAAATTCCTAACTCCTACCACAGTAAGTAGTACAAAGAACATCTGTTCCTCCCAAATCTCTGGTGGCTACATTTCACCACTGCTGATATTTAGACTAGTGAGCTCCATCCTTGGAACTCTAACCAACAGTGAAATTTTCTCTTGAAAATTTTGGGAAGTCAATATTAATATAAAATATTCATATTAATAGAATCATGTCCTGAGCACTTTTTAAAATGCCTACTTGGAAGGGAAAGGAAAATGCCTGAAGAATTTTATAAAATCCAACACGGAGGAACTCCTCACTTATCTCATGGGAAAGTCTGAAAATAAAAAAGTGTGCCAAATCGAATGTGCAGTGCTTTCTATGCATGAAACATGCACACCCACTTTGCAAATTTCAGGTGCTTTAAAGATTCCAGGTTTTAGCTCTTAATCTTAGTATACATCTAAGTAAGGAAACTTAGTTACCTGGAAAATTTAGCTCCTCCTCTGGCATTCTTACTGTTTGTGCAAATGGATTATTGAACCTTCCTTTTTGCTTAAAGAATTTTTCTTCCCTGGCAAGCACAAGGTCCTGAGTTCAACCCCAGTACTGCAAAAAAAAAGAAAGAAAGAAAAGAAAAAAAAATTTTTTTTCTTCTGTTACAGCACTCACATCCTTACTAATTGTAAGCCACGAGGATATGACCACATGAACTTAATTTCTTGCAAAGATCATGGTAATCACAAAGCAAAAAGCATGCAGTGATACACAAAACAAATACAAAGCATTAAAAAATACCATTATGAAAACCATCAGACTACAAAGAAAACAGCACGAGAGGTAGAAACAAATTATATCCCACAAAACCAGAATACAAGTTATAAAATGGCAGTATTAAGTCCTAATCAGTCACTACTTTGTAAATGGACTTTGTAATAGTCTTAGAAAAAAAAAAAGAATGGTTGGGTGAGTTAAAAAGAAAAAACCTTTCTATATGCGATGTGCAGCATTCACTTCACCTTTAAGGACATACAGAGAAAGTGATGGAGGGGAAAAGGTATTCCATGCAAGTGAAAACCAAAACAGAACAGAAAGGCCTATACTTGTAACGGACAAAATAGACTTGAAGTAAAAAAATAGAGACAGATATAATGACAAAGGAATCCATTTATCAAGAGGTTATACTAGCAGTAAATATGTATGCACTCAATATTGAAGCATCTAAATATATAAAGAAAATATTAATAGACTTGGAAAGAGATGCAAAAATAACTTCAATACCTTACTTTCAATAATGGACACACCCAGACCAATTAAGGAAATACTGGACTTTATGCACCAGACCAAAGGTACCTAACATGTATGTGGAACATTCCATCCAGAAACAACAGAATACACATTCAAGTACACATACACCTTTGTCTAGGGTGGGTCATGCGTAATAACACAAAACAAGTCTGAATAAGTTTGGGAGGCTTCAAATCAAGTCTTTTCTGACCACAGTGATGTGAAATTCAGGAGAAATTGTGGGAAATTCACAAATACATGGAAAATAACACGCTGATAACAAGAATGGATCAGAAAAGACAAAATTTTCAGATAAATAAAAATGGAAACAACATTCCAAACCATGTGGAATGCAGCAAAAGTGGTTTGAAGAGCGGAATGTAGAGCAGTAAACCCCTACCTTTCTGTAGAACCCCTTCCTGTTCCTAGAAGATTCCAGACTAGCAGCTGTAATTGTGTAATCACCATTACCTCAAACCCACTCATTCATTCTGAATGGTTCAGCCTCATCCATGTGATCTGAGTGAGGGGCTGAATTTGAGACCACCCAATTCAGGAGACAAGCATTTTTTTTTTTCTTTACATTTGTCGCCTTCTCTAAGCATTCTCTTCATATCTCTTTTTCCTTTCTTACAACCTCAGAATTTTGGTGAATATTTTAGTAAAAATTCAGTGTACTGGATGAAGAAAATCTTCATAACCTACATTTTTCTTGGAGTTTTCTTGTTTATATTTGTTTCTTTCTTTGGAAGGGTAGATCTGGGGGTGCCTGTCACTAAATCTTATTGCAATTAGGATCCCAGCAGGATACAGATAACACATTAGAAAAGGTTTGACTTTAAAGAAATTAAGGAAGTGACTATATAGATCTATGGGACACTGAAGCACCCAGCAACTAGCAAAACAGGGAGTTACTCAGGCGTGAGAAGCCTAAAAAGGGTACAGAAGCTGGAGCCTCAGAACAGGGCTGCTTGGCCAGAGCAGAGCACAGCTGGGGTCCGTGGTGCCTCCTGGAGGAAGTGGGGGCGCAAATTACCAGGACCTTGTTTCCTCACAAATGTTCCTGCTGCACCCTTCCCACATTGATCAGGGCTAAGTAAAGAACAGGAAGCTACAACAATAGTCTGTAGATGTCCGCATGCTGGGCACAGAAGAGGATAGAGAAAGGGGGACGCAAGAGTTACACCCATTTCATTATCAACACACAGTTTATTCCCTCCAGGTGGGTTGCCATATGGAACAGTGTGTTTAGGATTCTACATTTAGCTTTTCTTTCTAATCATCTCACCAGGTTTATCCTGAAATTATACCTTATTTTCACTCAAAGAAACAGAATCGTATTTCCCACAAAGTGACCTTTGCCGGTTTCTATATTCAGTGTATGAGGTTAGTTCTGAGTCATAATGCAGCACTATTTATAATGTTTCATGGTATTTAAGGGAACTGATCATTCAATTTGCTTTGCTTTTTAAAAAGCTGTTTATCCCTAAGCTTTTGCTATAGTTAAAATTGTAAATCACACTACCATGGCAGATCTGTTTATAAATACAAGAAAGACCATGTCTAGAACACTATGGTAGAAAAAAAAAGATTGTATTTAGAGTCTACCATAGCACACCTTCCACTCAGTTCCAGATACTGTGGGTTTAGCCCACAAGTAATTTCTGACATTCAGGTCAAGTCAGGCTTAATTGGTCTAGTTATTTCTGGAAAATAAACATCATTTATGAAAAACAACGTCCGCACAGATCTGCAAATTGGAGGGGACATGGAGAGCTGAGCAGAATCGGCAAAAGTGTAGCTACATCTGTTGCCACCTTGGGAAGCGTGTAAGCTGTACGTATAAGCAGACAAGATCCACATTTATTGTGCCAGTTCAGCCCTTTAACATCCTTCTAGACCTGGGGGATCTTGCCTTTGTATGACTCTTGGCCAAAGATATTTCTTGCCTCCTGCTATGGAGGCCAGATGGTCATTTGCTTTATCCCCGACAGCCTGGGAGGGTGACTGATCTTGACCAAAACGTTCCTGCCTCAACACAAAGAAGCAGGAACAGAGTAAGTGAATTTGTTCTTTTGGCACAGTGGCAGTGTCCTGGTGACTGATAACTGAAAGCGATTTTGTGAATTGTACTTGTTTGGTGAGGGGGAGGGAGGCCAGGCTGCTTCTAAGGAATCCCTGAACCATCTTAGGTGCAAGGGGTCCCCTTTCAACCTGAGAGCATGAGGGATTTGATTTTTTCCATTCAGTTGGTCCTTATTCCTGTCAGCAAAGACATATTCCTGTTTTCTCAAACTCATTACTAAATGATAGAGGCCTAATGCCCTTTCCTTTTCAATAGTTCTTGAATAAAATGATTGTGGCATTCACAAAAGCATCAGCCAGCTGACGCTGCTAGAAATGATAAAGGCCTACTTTCGGGAAAGGAAGATATTATTTATTTTCCTGTCCCATTTTTATGCCTAGAACATTGCCTTGCATAAAACAGGTGCCTAAAATATCTTTGGAAAAAAGCTATTAAGTTTTCTCAAACATTAACTAGTCATGATCTTATTTCTTAGTGGTTGGGACAAATATTAAGGGTCTTGTGCTATTAATTACTCAAAAATAAGATTTTCTTTCTCCTTTTTATTTAGGTGCTGTTTTAAAACAGTTTTATGTAGTTTTGACAAATGATTAAAATATTGGTGCAGGGTCTGCTTGTTATGCTTTTTATTACATTTGACAAAAGGTGGAGTATTTAACACGTTCTAAAAACAGTATCATTCTTATTTTAATGAGTATACAGTGTCAGCCACTGTCTTGCGAATAAATCCAGGTTTCATAGACTTTTTCTGTTTAATGATTTATACATATTCAAATAACTAGAACCTCCAATTTTTCAATCCCTTCCCTTCACACTTTCTAAAAGGCAGGAACATAGATAAGCACAGGAAATACCAACTTTGGGAACTCCAATGCTAGCAGATGTTTGTTTATAACCCATGAGTCTATATGTTCCCATGTCTTGAGTGCTAACCTACAACTACGAAACACCTGCATGAGATAGGCTGACCTTATGATTTTACAAATGATGAAACGGAACCAGCTTCCACCAGAGCCGGGACAGAATCCTATTTCTGGTGCCAAATTAGGTTTCCGCTTTATCACATATACAATTCCAGTTGGATGCTATCTCCCTTTTGGCACTGGAATTTCAAGCTCTCCTTCCTTTGACACCATCTTCAGAGGTGTATCACAGCAATCCACGTAATAACGGCAGGACATTCCCCTGTGGGTGCAGCAATGCAGAAGGTTCGGTCACAGGAGCCTTCCTTTGCACCAGGGCCACTGATACTCAGCTCTGGTCTCTGACACCTTGGCCAGGGTTCAGGCCGTGGCCAAGCATCTCCAAGGGTAGAGCCTCTGTTTCACTCAGAAGAGCCTAGTTCATCTTGGATCACTCTGACTAGAGACTTCAATTGTTTTGAAACTGTTCCCTTTATCATTTGGATCCAGCAATCTGTTTGTTCAGTTCACTTAATTAATACCTGAACTACTTCAGCCAGTGAACCCGAGTGCTATTTTTTCCCCGTTGGACCAACAACGCACTGTAATAAATTGCCACAATAGCTGCTATTCACTAAGGGTTCACTAGGGGTCCCAGACTGCAAAGTTTCCTTCATGCACATTATCCGGACATCTGATATAAATATATACTACAATCTACCAGGTGGTCGTAGGTATTTTAGAATATAAACATAATAGCTAATGTATCTTGAATATTTACAATGAATAAATATTGTTTTAGTACTTTAAATGTATTACTTAAATAGCACAGTTCCCAAAAGATAGAGACTACAGTTATCCTCATTTTCCAGATGAAGTCAGTGAGGATGGCCGAGATCTCACAGACAGTGATAGCCATGTTTGTTTGTTTGTTTTTAACACATTTGTTTATTGCAGATGTAGGGACTGATCCCAAGGCCTTTGTAGTAAGCTACATTACCAGCCCCTTTTTATTTATTTATTTTAAACATTTTGTGACAGAGTCTCACTAGGTCTCTAAGCTGCCCGGGATGTGCTGGAACTGGCGACCCTCCTGCCTCTGACTTCCAGAGTGTTGGAATTACAAAGTGTGCCACAGCACCTGGATCTCTTTTTATTTATTTATTTTAATTTATTTTTATTTTTTGGTACTGGGGATCAAACGTCTTTGCGCTTGCGAGGCAGGCGGCAGAACCACTGAGCCAAATACCCGGTATCACTTTTTATTTTGAAACGGTCTCACTAAGTTGCCCAAGCTGTCCTCAAACTCTCGATCCTCCTGCCTAGCCTTCCTAGTAGCTGGAATAACAGGTGCTCACCTAGCTTTGGCTCTTAACAATGGCCCCAACTGCCTCTGAGCCAAGCCCAGGAAAATACAAAGGGCATGGTGGCTGCCAGCTGGAGCTCCCAGAGTGGAAGAGAAGAGACAGGAAGAGGTAGAGAGCTCGCAGAGTCATCAGGGAGCCCAGGGAAAGGCCTATCTCAGGGCCCAGTCTTTACCTTAGGGGAAGCCCAGGAGGGGTCTTTGAAGAGTCAACACCAACGGGGTGAATGAGTACAGCCCCGAGGAGGGGTGGGGAGGGCCCGGAAGGAGCAAAGGAGCCAGGCTGACAGACAGTGAACGGAAGATGCTCCACTGCCCACAGGAAATGGGGCAGAGTCACGGCCACCCGCATGCGCAGACTCGGGCCGCGGTGTAAACAAGACCTGCAGACATTGCCTCACCTTTTAAATGGAATGCTAAAGGCTTCTATTTAAAGAAAGTCTTTCTGGAAAAAGAATATTTTACACTGTGAGAAACCCAGATCGATGTGTTTTACAGTCCCTTAGGGCAACCGAATGCCGTGGTGGTGGCCTTTTGTCAGCGTCCTTACCCCTCAGGATGCGCGTCCTAAACCTACAAGTGAGAATGGATGTGTGTTTTTCCTACTGTGATCACCCCTTCCGTGGGAGACACCACTTTCACAGCCCAGCAAATCCACTGAGACAACCCACTGGATGATCAGAGACCCTTTCTTGCTTATTACCTACCCATCTAAGCATTTTACAGATTGGATTTGTCATCATTCTTGAGCAAAAATTAAATATAGCAACTTCCCATCAGTGGCATATATATATTTTTAAACCCGGAGATACAGGCCAAACCATCCAACCTGACTAATGATGACAGAAGATTAAGCTGTATCCATGTTAGTGGGGAGATGTTAATCTGCATCACTAAAGCAGGCCAGGTGGTCGGCGGCCCCCACATCCACAGCGCTATTTTACTAGACAATAGCAAGTTGTATATAAATTGGTTTCCATGGTTTGTTCATTTCTGCGGCTTTGCAGGTGGCTAAGGAAACATGGCTTGTCTCTCTGCTTGTTAAGGAGTGAGCAATGTCACATTTACCCCAATACGTAAGAGACAAGTGCTTCATAAATAGAAGGATCTTTGTCTAAGAAGGGAGGCTCATCCTGACACGTTGAGAGATAATGATGGTCGCCACTTTACTCTTTTGCCTGCTCTCTTTTCAATTACCTTTTGTTTTTCCTGCCAGAAACATTTCTTTCAAGTGCATGCAAGACACTGATGAATTTCTTTCTGACCTGAATTCAGCGACGCCCAAAGAATACGCCCTGAGAAGTAAGTAGGTTTCCCTAGCCCATTGGGTGGGTGAACAGGGAAGTCTGTTCTAGAAGCATTCTTGAAAAACTTGAGAGAGTTAAAAACGCAGCACCAAAGCGGGAAGAGAAAACAAGCCTCAGCTTCCAATTTGCTCGCGGGGGCGGGGTGCAGAAGGCTCTGTGGTCAGTCTAGCCAGACGCCTCTCCTGAAAACTAAGAATTATTTAGATCACGTGATGCTATTTATTATTTAAATCCATAACATCTCATTGTCACATGACATAGCTTGGTTTATTTCTTTTTCTAGACATTTAATCTGCTTTTGATAATAAGTTGCTTGATTGTTCAGGGAGAAAGTCTGGTCCATGATAGGCATAATAGTAAATTCTAAGAAGGGCCAGGGATTTAACTCAGTTAGGTCTTGAGTTCAATCCCTGGTACCAAAAAATAAAATAAAAAGTAAATAAATTGTAAGGAGTGTGTTGGTAAAGGCTTGGGCTCAGGCTAGAAGATTATAGCCAAGCCTCTTTGCATATGATATGTATGGATTTCAGGTAGCTGCAATTTTTTTTTTTGTACTGGGGAATTTGAACTCAGGTCCTTGCAATTGCAAGGCAGGCAGCAGCACCACTGAGCTAAACCCCAGGTCCCTTTTGTTTGTTTTTTGAGACTGGTCCTCTCTATGTAGCCCAGCCTAGCTTCAAATTCATGATGATTTTCCTGCCTCAGCCTCCCAAGTGCTGGGATTGTAGGAGCCATCAAGCCTGGTTCCTGCAATTTTAAAAAATGTTTTCCGAAGTCCTTCTCACAACTGAAGGAATAGATACTCTTCTGCCAGAAAGGGGCACCACGCCCTCCACCAGGAGAGAATGATTCATTGTTGTTAGTGAAAGCCATTGACAAGGAAAAATGTAGAAACCATTTCCAAAACCAGATAAAACTAACCTAGCAATTTCCACTTAGAATGCGGGACTACTTAATTTTTTTATTGAAAAGCACTTAGTAGTGTAATACATGTCATAAAGACAAAAGTTTTGATCTAATATAGTGTCATTCAAAATAGCACATGATTTGAAGCAGTTGCTATTCCACACTGGATCAGATGCCCTCGTATTTAATGAAATGGTGGTAAAATATAAATCCAATTAATTCAGTAGCCATTTTCTTCAAGTGCCATTTTGGAATTGGTTATGTTTTGCTACAACACTTGGTGATATTGATAGGTAACATTGTGACTAAACCTAGGCCAAATAAGCTGGCCAAGAGACTCCAGAAGGTGTGATGCTGGCTGGGGTTTCTGGTGATGAGGAGGCAGCACACACTTTCATCATTAGTCACAGCACCGCTAACACTATTTGCCTCACAAGTAACTATAGTCATGCACCAACCATGTTCCACCTACTGTAGGAGCCTGAAACAAACAAAATCCTCAAGATAAATGGTTCAAGAAAGAACTGAATGACCTGAATGACTTATATAAATGGGATAGAGGATTACTAATTTATTTTAATAGATAAATATACCTGTCTGTAATATCTGAACGAATTTTTATTCTAATGTACCAGAGAATAGTTGGCAATGCTGCCTTGACATTTTGCCTGAGATCTTTGAGCACAGCATGTGTTTTTGACTTTGGCTCTCAGCATGGTTTTCCTGGCAGTCATGTGGATGGAAAAACAAGAGTTAAGTAAGAAATTTGACCAGCAGGCACCCTTCTGAGCCCTGTGCAGGGGTCCATCCCTTTAGTCCAAAAGCTCCTCTTTTAGGTGGTGGGGAGAGTTTTTATCATTTGTTTTAGAAATGAGGAATCCAACCACAGAGAATAAAAGATCTTGTCCAATGTGGTATATATAGATTTTGAGCCCACAAAATCTGATTCTGTACTTTGGATCTTTGCCTAAAAAATAAGCAACAACAAAAGAAACAAGAAAACAAAAACAAACCTGGCAGCCAAAATATATCAATACTGAGATATTATATCAAGGTATATTAAGAAGAAAAAAAGGCACAGGAGATTATATATAGCAGCTAAATTTAAATCAGTGCAAATTAAGGCTGGCTGTTGCTAAATGTATGTGGTTCACATGTTAAGAAATGCTTGAGGGCTGGGTGTGGTGATGTACACCTGTGATCCCAGTACTCTGGCAGGCTGAGGCAGGAGCACGCAAGTGTGAGCTCAACCTCGGCAACGTAGGTGGCTTGGTGAGACCCTGTCTCAAAATAAATTAAAAAGGGCTCAGTGCAAAGGCCTTGGGTTGAATCCCCGGCACTGAAGAAAAAAAAAAAAGCACGAGAATGATAACCTCTAAAGTCAGTTGGGAATAGCTTTGGAGAGGGTGGTGAGGGAGCATCTGGGGACGCACTAGATTTCAAGGGATTGGTTGAGTTTTGTTTTAAGCCGAGTGATGGGAACATAGATGATCATATTATTCTTCATGCCTTTTTAATACAGTAAGCATTACATAATTACAGTTTTAAAGTGCCACCCCCAATACAAAACAGAGATGACAGCCCGCGTGGGCTGTGTAGGCTGCAGATGGTGGGCAGAAACCCGAAGAATAAGGTGGGAAGAGGACCCTTGAAGCACTTGTTTGGCCTTGCAGACAGGAATTAGTCACTGCGGAATAGGAGAGAGGCTGATCTTTACAGACCCAGTCTGCATGGGCAGGACAGGTTAAAGAATACAGATATTGTAGGAGAGAAGTTTAGTAATGAGGCTCTGTGTCTGTCTTTCCTCCATTCTTCTCCCATAGTTTCCTGTCAATTATTTACCAACTTAACAGGAAGGAAATCCACCAGATATTCCTGTGTGCTTTGATTTTTGCCACCCTGTGGGATCTTGAGCTCTTACCTAATGCCCCTTGGCACTGTCCATCCCTGACTGTTCTCTTCCCTCTGGTTCTGATTTTGTCTTAAACACTACAATCCACAGAACTTCTAGAAATCTACATGTCACGTAATGATGAGTGGCACCCCCTCCCCCAATTCATCTTTTTCTTCTCCATTTTCTTTCTTTTTAACCATTACAGTGTTAGCTGCCTTCCTCCTTCCAGACCCTCATCTCTTTCCATTTGAGGGACTGTGCCCTCTGTGGGATGTGCTATGCCAGTGATGATGAGCCTTGTACAGATCAAGTGCCCAATTTGCAACCCAAAACCTACTTATATATTGCAAAGTGCCAATGCTGCAATTAAACCTGAATACTGAAGTTTTAACTTAGAAAAAGCCACTCACACATTAATAACAGCTTGCACTGATGCACATATGCCATAGGTCTGCCACCACTGTCCTATGCTGGTGATCTTCTTTCTCCTTCTTTCTCTACCAGACTTCCAGGACCTTCCAGAACTTTCCAGAACCAGGTTTTGCATTCTTGTCCTCATCTTAATTTTTCTTATAAACTAGGTTTGGAGCCCAGAGTTTGAGCTCTTGAGCCACAGAAACTTCTAGGTTGGCAGCCTTAAAGCACAATGAGCTATGCTCTTTCTCCCAGGCCACTTCCCTTTGCTCATCAGTTCCCTCACTTGTGAAATGGCCAGCTATGTTTCCCCTACTGTGAAAAATCAACAGCAGTTTTTAAAAAATGCCAACTCCTAGGCCCAAGGGTGTGTTACATCTGGTCCGTCAAACTGTCAAGCTGGTTGTTGAACAGTTATTTTTATGGAGTCAATCAAATATATTTATAATTAAATTATGCTAAGAATAAAAGTGATAGTCAAAATTCATCATTTCCTGGCTTTCTGAATATATATTGTCATTATCTACAGTCAGTTTTTAAAAAACTGTGCTGGTAATCAAACCCAGAGCTTTACATGTGCCAGGCCGACACTGTTCCACTGAGCTACCTCCCCAGCCCACTATTACCTGTGCTCTTGAAGCTGTGCACACCTGTTGCTTCTGTATGGTGGGAATTGCTACTGTGCTGTTGTGCTCGGCCTCCCATCTCCAAAGACAGGAGCAGCACAGGGGGAATTAGAAATCAGCTGTGGAGTCAGTGTCTTACAGTTGCTGCAAGTGGGGTTTACTGTTTTGTCAACTGTTTAGATTTAAGGAATTGGAGGCATTGTGAGGTATGAAAACTGAACAAGTTGTGTAACAGCAGTAGCCATCACATTGTCAATACCACAAAAAATATGAGGAAATATTCTGCAGTGTTCAAACTGTCATCAGATTCAGCACAAGTTTCTTACATCACGGACCAGTGCTTGCAGTTTTGACATATATCTTTCTTGTTTCACATTAGTATTACTCATTAAGGTAAACAGAAACACCAACATTCATATCAGGAGTATACTTATTGGTCAGCTGAAACCACAGAATGGCTATAGATATAAGAATTTGGTCAAAACACACACACACACACACAGCCAATGAAAGTATTTTGTGAGGATCAATTGGCTATTTGTACATAAGGATTATTGTAGGTTTCATTATTGTTTGTATTATGTTTGTGTTGTGGAGTGAATTGTGTTCCCCCTAAATTCTTAAGTCCTAACACCAGCATCTCAGCATTTGGGGATAGGATCTTTAAAGAGATAATTAAACAGATGTGGTGGCACATACAGCTAATCTCAGCATTTTGGGATGGTTGAGCCCAGCTAGGGCAATTTACTGATATGAGATTCTGTTTCAAAATAAAAAATAAAAGGAGAGGCTGGGGATGTAGCTTAGTGCAAAGGCCCTGGGTTTGATGTCTAGCTATGATAGATAGATAGATAGATAGATAGATAGATAGATAGACAGATAGACAGACAGGCACTCGTAGATAATCTAAGTTGAAAGGATGAGTAGAGAGGGCCCTAATACAAGGACAGGTGCCCTTATAAAAGAGGAGATTAGGACACAGACCTGCTTCTAGTAAAAGACCATGTAAGGACACACACAGCAATGAGGCAAGCATCTGGAAGCCAGAGAGAAGCCTGAGGAGAAAGCACAGTCTGTACTCTGCTCTTGGACATGAGAGCCTCCAGGTCTGTGAGGCAATGAGTTCCTGTGTTTAAAGCACCCAATGTCTGGCAT